GGAGAAAAGAGGAACCAAATTCTCCCCCATGAATTCGTCGATATTCGAGTTCCTCCATCCATCAAAGAAGGGAAGGGAGCTAAAATGGTATTGTTTTCTTTTTAAAAATACATACTTAATGTAAAAATAAGGAATATACTCCTTTAATCACATATGTGACAGGTTCAAAAATAACACTGAAGTATCAACACATGTGAGAAAGATCATTGAAGGATGTTTTAAAGGACCATGGTACAGCTGGAGAAAAGTGCCTGGTTTTTACAGAGATACATGGTTTTCAACATTTAAGGTTTGCTTTAGTTATAAGCTTGAATAATACTTTTATTATTTTGTTTATTCATATTTGCTATATTTCTATTGTAGACAAGGTATGAGTGGAATGCCTCAATTGAGCACTTAGTTAAAGCCAACTTTGATCATCTTGCCGCTACTCGGCTTAAAGGAATGGTTAGCCTTGCAAAGTCCAAAGGAGAAAAGCCTGATTGGATTCTCTTTGAACATTGGAAAATTATGTCAGATTATTGGATGACACCGGAAGCCAAAGAAAAAAGTCAGAAAGCTCGTACTTCTCGGCTATTTAGTCGTGATGGTTTAATAATCGCAATCTAATCGGTTTCCAAAAACAAAAAATAAATTGAAACTTTAATAAATATTAATACTCAAAATCGATTCATCTTCAAAATACAAACTTAAACACCTAACCTAAATATCCATGTAATTGTAAGATTAAAAATTTGGTACTAATACTTAGATTTATTATAGTAGTAACGCAAACAGTATTTACGGTTCCGGTGAACCACGGCGAAGCACTGATTATCACGTGCTAAGTTGTTTCTTTGCAAAATAGTGATGTGTGGGATGTATGAAAAAATATTAGATTCTCTAGCAACTTTCAATAGGTTTAAGATGTTTTCATATTAATCGGTTTCATGTATATTGACTTAACTTGTTTTAAGAACGTAAAGAAACATGGTTACTTAAAGATTGTTTAGCCATTACGAAGATATTAATTTATGTATCATATTTACATGCTATTTAGATTGAGATACCACATACAATTTTGGGTTATGTTTCTTACTAGATTTTAACTCGCGGTACACCGCGGGATAAATATTTTCTTTTTAATTCATGTTTTTACAACTTTATAGATTTTGGTAGAGTTTATATAATAATTATTAAGATTGAATAATTTCAATCTTTATTAAATCAGTTTAATTATACATATTTATATCGGTGTAGTTAAAAAAATAGTAAGTTAAATTACCCGTATGGAACTGTAAGATTAATAATTTTAAAAATACCCGATTGAATGTTAGAATCAATATCCAAAAAATCCAAAATCCAAAAAATCCGATCCGATATCCAAATGGCCAGGCCTAAATTATATCATCGTTTTTTGAGAAATCCAATTGAATATTATTAAACCTAATTTTAGTTTATAGTTTACCATTGACTACTTATTTTTCACTACTACAGTTACATATTTATCGAACATAAGGACCATCGTACCCATGTGTTATCAACTCTCATTTTGCACTATCTTTCTCATCAATCTATGTCTTTTTCATCATCAATCTACGACTCTGTCATCATCGATCTACCCTTAATGGTCTCCATATATCGTCTTCGACAAGTTCTAACGGCTTCGATTATCTACTATTTCATTTGTCTCCGTCTTCCTCGCATTAGTCATTTGATTCTACTTAATCTATTTTTTTTTTGTAATTAGTCTTCAGAGTAGTGTATCGATTAGCCAAATATTCGTTGTCAATTCAATGCACTTAAATAAATCAAAGGAAGTGATAAATGGTATACTCAATCTCTCTTCGTTTGACTTGTGGTGAGGACATAAGATCAATAATATTAGATACCAACATTATTACACTAACTAAACAACTGTGAACAAGATGACGATGTAGAAAAAGGCATGAACTAAGAGAGTTTGTTCATAGCAAAGGCGATTGACCTGTCTTGAAACTGGATTCCCAACAACCATCTTATTATGGTCATGGTATGATGTTATTATGCCATTTTTTTTTTTTTTGATAAACCCTATCGGCTGATCCAGTTAGTCCCGGTAAAAACACACCGAAATGCTACATAGTGTACTTCTCCCCAAAGGGCCACCACATTGTCTATCCCGAGTTTGGAATGCTTTCCGACTAATGCCAGAGGGTAGTCAGGCCGCCTGCATTTCTGACTAACAGGTAAACCAATTGGGCCAAGGCCCAACTGACAGACTTCCCACACAACAATGATTTTTGTTTCCAGGGTGGATCGAACCTGGGTTAGTTCTTTCCAACCTTTCCCCAATTCTCCCTTACCACTGGACCACTGCTGTGCGGGCAAAAAGAATAGCTAAGCTCAACATTTATCCTTGACCAAGAAATAGGGCATTAAGAAGATTAACAAACTGCTGAATTAGCTTAGAAATACTATTGGTAAGACAATGATAATATCATCAATATATACTATGATATAAAGCTAGACACTGGTAACAAGCAACTCAAGGAATACTATTGTAAGGAATAATTTATTTTCCCTATCATGTGATTAATCATGTTTCTCAAAAGATTTTAAGGTTCATAAAAATTGCACATACATTAAGCTCCAAATACCATGCACAAGCTATATATTGTAGTGTATAGTAAAATATGAAGTACGATACATAGGTTTTATATTGCAAAGTTCTAGCCAATTCGCACAAATATTAAATAACAAATATATTTTTTAAAAATAGCCAAATAAAAATTTATTGGTTACATAAAATCTTCGAGAGATAGTGTAACAAAAAATAATTCAGAAGACTCAAATCACAATATAAGAAAAAGGGTGTAACAAGGGACAAAATCCATAAGAAAAAAATTATTGCAACCATGCAAGGTTATAAACCAATTCAATAGTAAGGTGTCTTCGGGACATATGGTGGAGATGGAGACTTGTAGTCGACCTTTGGGGAAGGAGAGTAATAAGGTGGTGGTGGGGAGCTGTACACGTATGGTGGAGGTGGAGACTTGTAGTTGACCTTTGGGGAAGGAGAGTAATATGGTGGCGGTGGGGAGCTGTAGACATATGGTGGAGGTGGAGACTTGTAATCAACCTTTGGGGAAGGAGAGTAATAAGTTGGTGGTGGGGAGCTGTAGACGTATGGTGGTGGTGGAGACTTGTAGTCGACCTTTGGGGATGGAGAATAATAAGGTGGTGGTGGGGAGCTGTAAACATATGGGGGAGGTGGAGATTTGTAGTCGACCTTTGGGGAAGGAGAGTAATAAGGTGATTCGTGTTTGTGAACCGGAGAACTGTATTGGGGTGTTTGAGGTAAGGAGTAAGGATATGCTGTCACTGTAGCCGCGATGGCACACAAGAACACGACATAAACCATGCAATGCACTCGTCCCATCATTCTTGAGGAGATCATAATACTCGTTTCTGCTCTTTTCGTTTCTTTGTTTTGGTTATGATTTACATGGAAATGAATGTCCTTTATATAGTATTTTTCTTCCGTGTGGGTAAATATTATAGTATCTTCCCAAATTGGGTTCGTGTTTGGCAGTTTCAAATACATGTAGAGGACGTGCTAAGTTGTTTGTTTGGAAAATAGTGATGTGTGGGATGTATGATAAATTATTAGATTCTCTAGCAACGTTTCATATTATTCTGCTTCATGTATATTGACTTAACTTGTTTTCAGACCATGAGGAAACTGGTTTGCTGAAAGATTGTTTAGCTATTTAATTGATATCATATACAATTTTGGGTGATGTTTCTTATTTCCGAAGGATGATTATGCAAGAATATGTACACACATAAAATACTTAAAGTTACACACGATAATTATTATTTTATCAAATAACTTGTAAGCGTATCATCTATATCATTAAAGAAGTAGTCAAAAGAGCTCACATTCGTTCCGAGAAACGGATTACCGTTTTGCTTTTAATGAAAATACTGCTGGCTTATATTTTTTTTGTTAAGTCTTTAATTAGTTAAAATAAAACCCAAAAAAACGAAAATATATAAACCAAAATCATAATTTATATTACTAAAACTGAAATTTTTAAAACCTAAACCGAAATTGGTTTAAAGTGATTTTTTAAGAATTTTAAAATTAGGGTTTTTAAGCGAATGGGCTTACGTAAAAATGTCCGTAAAAAATACACCTCCTTATTTGAAACCCTAGAAAAAATTGTATTTTACTTCTAAAATACCATAATAATTTGTGTGCTCTCTCCATAACTCAAATTTTTTTTAAAATTGTTCCTAAGGCTTCTATAATGTTCACAAATTTATATTTGCATGCTAATATTTGTGATTCGTGTTACTCATCATAATCTATTTTTTCTTTTCCTCTTCGTGTAGTTGTTGTTTGGAAAGCAACATCAAAGAATCTTACACCTTTGCCTTTGCTTACATCAACTTTTGAAACAAGTATATTATCTCGGTTTGTGTGTTTTAACTTCTATTTGTTTAATTTTGATAAGCTTTAATTTGAATTATTATTTTTGTTAGCTATTAAAGATGAACTCCAAAGAAGATGTAAACTCGCTCTCTACGAAGAAAAAAACAAAATTCTTAGGTTGGATGGAATGCAATATCTTAGATCATCAAGCAAGAAAATTGACATATGAAAATTTTCCAAACGGATTTGTTTGGTTTAAAATAAAAGATGTGGAAGCCAAGGTCCAAGAAAAGGAAACCAATATAGAAGATTTTGAAAAGTACTTCAAAAAATTATGATCACTGTTTTCTTGAATTTTTTTTTGGATTGATATAACAATTTTTAGGATTTAGTTTTACTGTTTTAATAAGAGTTTTACCTATGGCTACTTTGATATATTAATTAATTATTAAATCTAAAGCATCTCGATCACGAGCAAATTAAAGCTATTAAATCTAGGGGGATTTGCACAACTAACCTTTTTATGATACCCTTTTCTACAAATACCTTCTCTAGGTGTCCATTTTCAAAAATGCCCTTTTCAATGTACAAAATGACTAAATTACCCTCCTTTATTATAACCCATGATGAAGAAAGGAATTTCTTCCGAAAAATTTCCCGCCAAAACTTTCTGACTAAAATTTCCCGCCAAAAATTTCATTCAAAATTTTTCCGCAATTCCTTAAAAAACCTTTTAAGAAACTTTGTAAATATTTTTAAATCCCTTAAAAAATCCTTTAAAAACCCTTGTAAATCTTTTAAAAGTCATCAAAAACCTTTCAAAACTTGAGTAAACTTTTTAAAACCATTGTAAATCATTTTATAACATTTACAAACACTTGTAAATCTCTTTAAACCCCTTATAACTGTGATAAATCATTTAAAACCATTTTAAAGAACTTGTAATACCTTTAAAAACTTTTGTAAACCCTTTAAAATCCTTTTTATACTTCTAAAACCCTTTAAAATATCTTGTAAATCCTTAAAACTATTTTTAAATCTTTGTAAATATCTTTCAAAATCCTTGTAAATCCTTTTAAAATCATTTTTAAATCCTTTTATGCCTTTAAAAACACTTGTAAATCCTTTTAAAAAACCTTTAAAAATCCTTGTAAATTTTTAAAATCTTTTAAAAATCCTTGAAATCCTTTAAAAACTGTTATAAACTTATAAAAACTTTTAAAAACCATTGTAAATCATTTAAAAACCATTCAAAAACCTTTGTAAGCTTCTAAACCTTTTTAAAAAACATTACAAATCTTTTTAAAACCATTTAAAAACTCTTGTAAATCCCTTTAAAAACCTTTGTAAACTCTTTTAAAAACTCTTGTAAACCCTTTAAAAAATCTTGTAAAAACTTTAAAAAAATTTGGCGGGAAAATTTTGTTTTTTGCGGGAAAATTTTTGCGGAAATTGTTTTGGCAGGAAATTTTTTCTCGGAATTTTTTTTGACGGGAAAATTTTGGCGAGAAAGTTTTTGGCGGGAAATCTTTTGGGGGAAATTTTTTGGAAAGAATATTCTTTCAACTAGGGGTAAAATGGCCATTAAAATTTAAGAGATGGCAAAAATGAAAATGACAAAAAGGGTATATTTAAAAGAGGGTATCATAAGAAGGGTATTGGTAGAAATTTCTCTTGAATCTAGGGAGAATTTGAAAAATACCAATTTTCCAATACCACTTTTTAAAAATACCCCTCTTTCTAATTTTTTCAAAAAGTCACTAGAAATTTTGAAATTTATCAACAAAATATGTGTAATCTTATATTTCTAGACACAAATTATCTTTATATGTGTGTAAATTTACATATATATTTCATAAATATAATATAAATACCTATTAAAAACCTTTAAAAACCTTATGAAAACTTTATAAACTTTTTAAAAACCTTATATAAACATTATAAATACCGTTTAGAACCTTTTAAAACCTTATAAATATTTGGATTTAGTCTGCTAGTAGTAATGATGATCTTGATGTACATTATCAACCAGATAAAAGTTTATAATTTTTATATTTGAAAAAGGGTAATTTTGAAAATAGATAGAAAAGAAATGTATTTTTGGAAAAGGGTACAGCATTTCTCAAAAATTCTCTTAATCTAAAGCATGTCAATCACGAGCAAATTAAAGCATAATTAAATTTAAAAAATCATGTCGAGTAAACCCATGACTTATCGCTTTTTATATAGATAAATATCAAACTTTAAATTATCTAAACCTTAAATATTATAAACCTTCAGAATTTCATAATAATTATTGAATATAAAACATTTAGAAGTTTGATATCTTTTTGTATGTTTATGATATGTATTATCCAACTACTGATATGTATTTAATATTCTTTATTATTAACAAACATGCAAAACTGTTTCCATCTTTTTTATAAGAAAAACGGAGATATAATATTATAATGTTTACTTCTATAAATACAAGAATTTGTATGAATTCTCCATAACTTTATATCATCGTCTGTCATATTCACAAATTTATATTTTAGTAATACAAAGATATTTATTGAAGAAAATATCATCATGATTACATATCATTGATCTAAATAAAATTTATAACTTTATTTATATAAATATTTAAAATTGAAAAAAATAAAGATGGAAATAAGGGTTGTTGTGTTATATATAATATGGTTGGAGATAAGTATACGTTACATTATAATATCCAAGAATTATATAATTTTTTTTGGTCGTCATGCAAAAATTATATAAATGTTACAATTTTATAAATATAAAGATTGAAATAATAAGATATTTACATGTTTGAAGGAAATTGGATGATGGTAAACCGAAATTATCTGTGATACTTACCAATTAACATTTTGAATCCCTAAAAAAAACCTGTAAGCTATATATGTTACAATTTTAAAACAACAAAGATGGAAATGACTAATTTTTGTTTTAAAAAGAAAAATAACATAAATTATATGTAAATATATATTACTAATTTATGTACATTATTAGACATATACCATCGTTAGCCAACAGCTCACCATAGAATATGGCATTGGCATAAGGCATACGACTAAATTTAAAAACACTAGAGAAAATTAATCATGATGTACGAAAGTAATGTAAATTTGATGATGACTGATTACGAATGAGTCAACAATGATTATGAACGTGATAACATGAATGAGATTAAAAATGTGATAACATGAGTGAGATTAAAATGGGAACATGATAAAATTTTACCAAAAATATAAATGACTTTCGATGGACCATATACACTCGATATGGAAATAGTGCTGGTCTATCATGGTCCTGAATAAATAAAGCCGGTGCGAGCATGCCCAACTTGATGCGGGGAAAAACGTTATGGCCAACCATGCCCCATAAGTCCAACGGGCTAGCAGCCGCTTGACACCTTTAATGGTAATAGTATATTTTAAAAGTAAATTAAAATCAGAAAACAGAACATTTTTAAGGAAATAAAATATGTATAGTTATTAATTAAACAAGATAACAGTTTGGGTTTATAATTTAAGCATTTGAGTTTAGCTTTTACAATTAAACCAGGTTATATGTCGGGTTGAATGTATGAGTAAGAAGATTAGGATTTCGATTTACAATTAAAAATTATATGCCGGTGTCGGTTTATAAATGAAGACTAGGGTTTAGATTTTACAATTAAACAAAATTTAATGTCGTTTTGAGTTTATAAAAGAATGGTTAGGGTATAGATTTTACAGTTAAACAACATTATATGTCGGTTTAGGTTTATAAAATAGTGATTAGGATTTTATATTTTATAATTTAAAGAAATTATATGTCAGTTTGGGTTTATAAAAGAGTGATTGGGGTTTATAGTTTATAATCAAACGAATTTATGTGCGGTTTGGGTTTATAAACGAGGACTAAGGTTTAGATATTTATAATTAAACAAAATTATTTGTCAGTTTTGATTAATAAAAGAGTGGTTAAGGTGTAGATTTTACAACTAAAAAAATTATATGTCAATTTGAGTTTTAAAAAAAATTAGGGGTTTTGATTTTATAACTAAAAGGAATTATACGATTTTATTAGGGTTTATATTTTGCAAAATATTTTGGGTATAATATGGTAAGTCAAAACGGGCTGACCCATCACATTGTCTGAAAAATAATGCCTATTAGGACATGCCCAGCTGGAGGTGGGTAATAACGTTGTGTTCAAGCGCGTTTCTGATGCGGTCATCAGTATCAAACAAGACCCGGAGTTGACCAGACCAGCCGGTTCAAGCATCAACCAAACCGTACCGGACAAAAATGGAGAATTTTGGCGAATATGGAGTTCTGATCAAGCGCAAGGCCTAGGGTTGATTATTCAACATAAAATTACCCCTAAGAAGACTAATGGTTCAGGAGAAATCAGAAATCAACTGACCAGATTGAAGACTCTCCACGACAACCCATCCGGACATTACCATGTTCAATCCCATCGACCATATGAAGACTTTCCTCGACCAATATTGAATATTCATCAATATATTGATGATTTTAAGGAGATCCATCGAGCCGGAATCAGATACAAACGATCCATTTCATCCAACGTGCATGACGTACCACACGGATCATGCCGAATCCAAGTTGATCGACCAAATGAAGAATTTGCTCGACCAATATTGAGTATTCACTCGAAAAGTACACATTTTATGAAGATCTATCGATCCAGAATTGAAGAAGAACGATCGGAAAGAAGAATCGATCATGAAGACCTGTTTCCACCATACCACGAGCAAGCATATGGAACCACCAGCCCAACTACACGTCCATTAAAGTTGGGGTTTGAAATACGTCCACAATATGGGTATTTTAAAAGGAATGAACGAGCATCATTAGTCCCCCTTCGAGGTATTTTGAGAGATGGCCATGAGAGCATCCTCGGACATGTTCATTGGCGAGCTAAGCCGCAGTTTGGAGAATTCACTCGTCCATTTGATCTCGGCTTCATTATTCACCACCAAATCAACTATTTGGAGCATATTTATCGAGCCAAAACACCCATGGTTCGAGTTGGTTTAGTACTTGCTCATTCGGCCTTACCCGAGGGCCATATGTTACCAAAAATGGAACTTTCCTTCTTTGGTTCCTTCGAGGCTTATGTTTGGCGACCTGGAGAAATTCTTTATCATCTAGAGACAATCCATTATGCCATACCTTGCACCAGCATCCACAGGATTACGCGAATCCTCTTGCATCTCTACTTTCCTATTCTAGAAGCATTCACACTTGGAGCTTTAAATCTACAACGGATTTTTATCTATCAAGGCTGCTGCATTTTAAAGACACTAAAACATTCCAGATAGTCCCAATATGTCGCACCTATCTTCCCAAGCTCTCAAGATACAATCTACGAGACCTTCCTTATTTGGCCGATTTTCTCATAAAGTCACAAACGGCTCTATGCTTTAAAGTTTGCGATTCTTTTCTTGTTTTAGCTTATTAGGACCGTGGTTTATGAGCCTATTTAGCTCAGCTTCGTTTTCATTGTAAAGCACCCATTATCATTGATTTAATAAACGATCGTTTTTCTTAGAAAGTTGTGTCTTTGTGTTATTGTTCTTGTCTTTAGAATCTAAATGTGGAATCACTTGTTTTCTATTGATTTGCGGATCAGTTTGCTTGTGGAATCAAGTCTTCTTGTTTGTGTGTGATTGTGGAATCAATCGAAAACCCCATCTCCATCTCTACCTTTGTCCATCTTCCGCAACAAAGCTTGTCAACTCTTGACATCTTTTGATCAATATGACTTGTTGGATTCCAATCTTATATCAGTTTACTAAGTCCAATGCGCAAGCCAGCTAGCGGGCCTATATTTAATAATAAAATTAAAAGTTTGTTTTATTTTACAAAATAAATTATCAATTTTAAAGTTTAAATTAATTTTTAAATCACTCTTTTGTAGATATACTAATTTTAATCACTATTTTCTTTACATTATCACATATCTTATTTTCACATTTTTATATATAATACTAGTCAGTTGCTCGCGCTATGCGCGGGAATTTTATTACTTTGTTTATGAGCAATTGATTTGTGTTTTATTTCGTACTTATTTTCTCCACTACAGAATATTTTTATTTTCTATCTCATGTTGTGTTTGTATAAAAAATCTATTTTATTTTAGTTTCGATAGTATTTGAGAAATTAAGTGTCTATAGTATAAATCGATGTTTAAGCATAAACAGAAGTGTTATGGAGAGTTGTAGAAAAAATGTGTTATTAAGGCTCCCACCAAATATAGATCTAGATGATGTTAATATTGTGGGTCCTTTTAATATTTTGGTCCAAAAGTTGAGAATCATTTGTGGATTTCGCGCGGATTGTTGTATTTTGTATTTATTGATTTGGCGATCTGTTGTTTATTATCTATTTATTTTGGTTTGTTATTTTTATTTGTTATTTTTTTGTTATATTTGTTATTTGTTATTGTTATTTAACATACATATTAGTATAACCTACTTTATACTAATTTAACATATTTATTTTATTATAATTATTATTTGAAAGGACTTTTCATTTTTTTTTTTTGAAAAAACTTGTTTACATGTGTATAAATCTTTAACTTAAATGATAAAATGGTATAAATAAATTATTAAATTTAAATAGTAAAATGATGTGGATGATGTTTGAAAGGACTTTTCATATTTCTTTTTGAAAAACTTGTTTACATGTGTATAAATATTTAGATTAAAGAATAAAATGATATAAATAAATTATTAATATTAAATAATAAAATGATTTGGATGATGATTAGGATGATGAGATGGCTTAAGGAGAAGAGAGAAAATTTAACTTTATATATATATAGATATTTAATTTTATCAAAATTTTGTAGTCTCTAATATCGTCTTCGACAAGTTCTAACGGCTTCGATTATCTACTATTTCATTTGTCTCCGTCTTCCTCTCATTAGTCATTTGATTCTACTTAATCTATTTTTTTTTGTAATTAGTCTTCAGAGTAGTGTATCGATTAGCCAAATATTCGTTGTCAATTCAATGCACTTAAATAAATCAAAGGAAGTGATAAATGGTATAATCAATCTCTCTTCGAATGACTTGTGGTCAGGACATAAGATCAATAATATTAGATACCAACATTATTACACTAACTAAACAACTGTGAACAAGATGACGATGTAGAAAAAGGCATGAACTAAGAGAGTTTGTTCATAGCAAAGGCGATTGAACTGTCTTGAAACTGGATTCCCAACAACCATCTTATTATGGTCATGGTATGATGTTATTATGCCATTTTTTTTTTTGATAAACCCTATCGGCTGATCCGGTCAGCCCCGGTAGAAACGCACCGAAGTGCTTCAGAGTGGACTTCTCCCCAATGACCTCCACACTGTCTATTGCAGGTTGGGGATGGGTAAATACCCCTTCCAGTCCATAGTCAGGCCGCTTTCATTTCTGACTACCAGGTAAACCAATTGGGCCAAGGCCCAACTGACAGACTTCCCACACAACAATGATTTTTGTTTCCAGGGTGGATCGAACATGGGTTAGTTCTTTCCAACCTTTCCCCAATTCTCCCTTACCACTGGACCACTGCTGTGCGGGCAAAAATAATAGCTAAGCTCAACATTTATCCTTGACCAAGATATAGGGCATTAAGAAGACTAACAAACTGCTGAATTAGCTTAGAAATACTATTGGTAAGACAATGATAATATCATCAATATATACTATGATATAAAGCTAGACACTGGTAACAAGCAACTCAAGGGATAAAGCAACTTATAGAATACTATTGTAAGGAATAATTTATTTTCCCTATCATGTAATTAATCATGTTTCTCAAAAGATTTTAAGGTTCATATAAATTGCACATACATTAAGCTCCAAATACCATGCACAAGCTATATATTGTAGTGTATAGTAAAATATGAAGTACAATACATAGGTTTTATATTGCAAAGTTCTAGCCAATTCGCACAAATATTAAATAACAAATAAATTTTTTAAAAATAGCCAAATAAAAATTTATTGGTTACATAAAATCTTCAAGAGATAGTGTAACAAAAAATAAATTCAGAAGACTCAAATCACAATATAAGAAAAAGGGTGTAACAAGGGACAAAATCCATAAGAAAATAATTATTGCAACCATGCAAGGTTACAAACCAATTCAATAGTAAGGTGTCTTCGGGACATATGGTGGAGGTAGAGACTTGTAGTCAACCTTAGGAGAAGGAGAGTAATAAGGTGGTGGTGGGGAGCTGTAGACGTATGGGGGAGGTGGAGACTTGTAGTCGACCTTTGGGGAAGGAGAGTAATAAGGTGGTGGTGGGGAGCTGTACACGTATGGTGGAGGTGGAGACTTGTAGTTGACCTTTGGGGAAGTAGAGTAATAAGGTGGTGGTGGGGAGCTGTAGACGTATGGTGGAGGTGGAGACTTGTAGTCGACCTTTGGGGAAGGAGAGTAATAAGGTGGTGGTGGGGAGCTGTACACGTATGGTGGAGGTGGAGACTTGTAGTTGACCTTTGGGGAAGGAGAGTAATATGGTGGCGGTGGGGAGCTGTAGACATATGGTGGAGGTGGAGACTTGTAATCAACCTTTGGGGAAGGAGAGTAATAAGTTGGTGGTGGGGAGCTGTAGACGTATGGTGGTGGTGGAGACTTGTAGTCGATCTTTGGGGATGGAGAATAATAAGGTGGTGGTGGGGAGCTGTAGACGTATGGGGGAGGTGGAGACTTGTAGTCGACCTTAGGAGAAGGAGAGTAATAAGGTGCTGGTGGGGAGCTGTAGACGTATGGTGGTGGTGGAGACTTGTAGTCGACCTTTGGGGATGGAGAATAATAAGGTGGTGGTGGGGAGCTGTAGACGTATGGGGGAGGTGGAGACTTGTAGTCAACCTTAGGAGAAGGAGAGTAATAAGGTGGTGGTGGGGAGCTGTAGACGTATGGTGGAGGTGGAGACTTGTAGTCGACCTTTGGGGAAGGAGAGTAATAAGGTGGTGGTGGGGAGCTGTACACGTATGGTGGAGGTGGAGACTTGTAGTTGACCATTGGGGAAGGAGAGTAATATGGTGGCGGTGGGGAGCTGTAGACATATGGTGGAGGTGGAGACTTGTAATCAACCTTTGGGGAAGGAGAGTAATAAGGTGGTGGTGGGGAGCTGTAGACGTATGGTGGTGGTGGAGACTTGTAGTCGACCTTTGGGGATGGAGAATAATAAGGTGGTGGTGGGGAGCTGTAGACGTATGGGGGAGGTGGAGACTTGTAGTCGACCTTAGGAGAAGGAGAGTAATAAGGTGGTGGTGGGGAGCTGTAGACGTATGGTGGAGGTGGCGACTTGTAGTCTACTTTAGGAGAAGGGGAGTAGTAAGTCGGTGGTGGTGGAGATGTGTAAACATATGGTTTCGAATGTGGGGTGTGCTTAGGACCTTGTCTTCTATATTGTAGTGGAGTTGGAGGTGATGCCGAATAGTATGGAGAATACTTTTTAGGTGATGAATAAGGTGATTCGTGTTTGTAAACCGGAGAACTGTATTGGGGTGTTTGAGGGGAGGAGTAAGGATATGCTCTCACTGTAGCCGCGATGGCACTCAAGACCACGACATAAACCATGCAATGCACTCGTCCCACCATTCTTGAGGAGATCATAATACTCGTCGCTACTCTTTTGGTTTCTTTGTTTTGGTTATGATTTACTTGGAAATGAAAGTCCTTTATATAGTCTTTTTCTTTTGTGTCCGTAAATATTATAGTATCTTCCCAACTTGGGTTCGTGTATGGCACTTTGAAATACATGTAGAGGACGTGCTAAGTTGTTTTTTGTTTTGGAAAATAGTGATGTGTGGGATGTATGAAAAATTATTAGATTCTCTAGGAACTTTCAATAGGTTTAAGAAGTTTTCATATTATTCTGTTTCATGTATATTGACTTAACTTGTTTTAAGAACATAAAGAACAAGTTTACTGTAAAATTGTTTAGCCATTACGAAGATATTAAATTATGTATCACATTCACATGCTATTTAGATTGATACCATAGAGCTTTGGGTCATGTTTCTTATTGCTGAAGGATGATTATGCAAACATTATATAAACACATAAAATTCAATGTTCTATGAATAAAGAAAATCTATAATTCTCATTTCTGGTTGTTTACATATGCATATGCTTCTTTAAATGTTTTGTGGCAACAAAAGCACATATCGTAAAGAACATCTCTGAAACAAAAGAAGAAATCTTTTGAAGTTCAATCTTTTATTGTTCAATCTTTTATTGTTCATTTGTCTTTTTCTTTTTTGGTCTCGATTAGGCATTGTTTGTTCTCTAATATCAATGAGTTTACGAAAGGTAATGTGATTGTCGCAATCCAACAAATCTTTATTTTCTCTATTCGGTTAAGCCGAACTGTCCCAAGGATATACTCTGGCAGATCGGTTTCCTTCTTTCCCTGCATTTGCATTTGGAAGTTGAACATTTAACTATTTGACCGATGATTGCATTCAAACAGATGTTTAACAAAAAGTTTAAGCCCTCTTATATAAAGATATGATAACTCCAGCAGTGAGACTCTAAACGAACCTCGATCAAGATGGCAAGATCAACAATGAGGCTTGTGACATAACCAAGGACCAGACCAATAACGCTCCTCGCAACAGCCGATGATCCTGAACAATACTTGGAATTAGCTTAAATCTTGCGTCGCGGTAACTGTCACTCCCATCCACAAATTTTCCCAGGGATGTAGTCTTGTTTACAGGTCTATCCGCAGCATAGTAGAGTACCAGACAATATAAGAGTTAGATAGACTTTAAGTAGGGAAAATGTTTGGTTATAAAATGATTGTACTATCACAATCACAATTCCAAAATACTAGAAACTTTTAGTGATATATGTGCGGCACATTTTTACAGATAATCAAAGACGATTAGCGACAAAATATACATTAAAAGCTTAATCATATAGGTTGAGTCCAATTAGTCATTAGCGAGTTCCCTATTCAAACAAACTTTTAATAAAAAGACTGACATATACATATAGAGTTCATGTTGCAGATAGCATTCAAACCTGAAGATTGATGACTAGAATGAATGGCAGCTTTTTCCCAGGGTCTGACTACAATAGAGAAAATTTTCAAATCAGGCACTTTCTTAGCCATCTCTCTTTATTAGCCAATTAAAATATAACAATATGCTACTAATTAGAGGTGTCAAATGAGCTGGTCCAGCATGGTCCTGAATAAATAAAAACCGTGCAAACATGCCCAACTTGACGCGGGGAAAAACGTTATGTCCAAGCATGCCCCATAAGTTCAGCGGGCTAGCAGCCGCTTGACACCTTTACTGGAAATAGTATATTTTAAAAGTAAATTAAAATTAAAATCAGAAAAAAAGGAAATAAAATATGTATAATTATTGATTAAACAAGATAACAGTTTGAGTTATAAATTAAGCATTTGAGTTTAGCTTTTACAATTAAACGAGGTGATATGTCGGTTTGAATTTATGATTAAGAAGATTAGGATTTCGATTTACAATTAAAAATTATATGCCGGTGTCTTTTTATAAATAATGACTAGGGTTTAGATTTTACAATTATAAAAAATTTAATGTCACTTTGAGTTTATAAAAGAGTGGTTAGGGTAAAGATTTTACAATTAAAAAAAAATGTTGGTTTGGGTTTATAAAATAGTGGTTAGGATTTTATATTTTATAACTAAAAGAAACTATTTGTCAGTTTGGGTTTATAAAAGAGTGATTAGGGTTTATATTTTATAATCAAACGAATTTATGTGCGGTTTGGGTTTATAAACGAGGACTTAGGTTTAGATTCTATAATTAAACAAAATTATTTGTTAGTATAGATTTGTAAACGAGTGGTTGAGGTTTATATTTTACAATTAAACAAATTTTTATATCAATTTGAGTTTTAAGAAGAATTAGGGGTTTTGATTTTATAACTAAAAGCAATTATACGATTTTATTAAGGTTTATATTTTGCAAAATATTTTTAGTATAATTTGATAAGTCAAAACGGGCTGGCCCATTACATTGTATGAAAAATAATGCCTCTTAGGACATGCCCAGCTGGAGGTGGGAAATAACGTTGTGTTCAAGCGCGTTTCCTGAGTCCAATGAGCGAGCCAGCTTGCGGGCCTATATTTAAAAATAAAATTAAAACTTATTTTTATTTATTTTACAAAAATAAATTATCAATTTTAAAGTTTAAATTAGTTTTTAAATCACTCTTTTGTAGATATACTAATTTCAATCATTAATTTTCTTTACATTATCACATATCTTATTTTCACATTTTTATATATAATATATTTAATTTTTTCAAATTTTTGTAGTATCTAATATATTAATGGCGTAGTCCGAAGAGCTCACGTATGCTCTAAATTCCGGATTACATTTTCACCCTTCTAAAATGTAAAGTATGTTGTCGCGATAGTAACTTTTATGTGTATATCTATATACTAGGGAGAGTTCCACGCGATGCGTGGGTGAAATTTAAGATTATAAATTATGCAATCTTTTATGATTAGATATACATTAAAAATGACAAACTACTTTTAAAATAAATGTAAAATGTTACCTAAGACCAAGTTTTTGTAAAAAATGATGATTATAAGAGATAGACAAAAGATATTTGAATAGTGATATGTATATTTTTTTTTTTTAAATGGGCAAGGCCTTGAACATACAATTATTGGGCTAAAGGGGAGAAAACAAAATTACAGCCCAAATCCCAAAATGAGATCTTCTCCTGCTGAAAGACCTGAAGCAGCGGTCGGAACAGTAATTCCGGCGGATGCGAGACTCATTCCTTTGCGGCAGAGACTTTGAAGTGGAACTGTTACCAGAAGCAACCGGACTCCGACTCTGGTTCCAAAACATCGACTCACCTGGCCCGGAACAAATCTCCCGGTCTGTTCTAACCGCCGACAGCAGGCTCTACGGTGCTGGTCCCGTGCCTAGCAACCAAAAACACACTCAGAGCTAACCCCCACTTCTAGATCCGGTGAACTTCGTTAACTCCAAGTAAGGAATCAATCCATCCGGTCCGGAGGAAACAGAATACACGGCGGTCTCATTGATTGTAATTGCTCAAGCCACATTCATGAAACCGTGACCCGGATCCGCCTTCTAAGATCCCGAGGGATCTACAGTTAACCTCCTGGACGACAGCGAACTCTCCATTCCCTCCACCGACTTTCGCTGCAAACCATAGCGGCCATTTGGATGCATGAGCAGCGAAGGGACACCACAGGGAATCATCTGCCGTCTTCAAAACAGAGATCGCTTAGCACAAGGTCTCCTCAACCATCCAAATGAACCCACACCGCCAAGCATCACATGAAGGAAAATCCACACCACCGCTGCTGGAGAGAGAGTCCTTACTCAGCTCAACCCTCCAATTGCACCAAGACCCACAATTAAGCACATCCCATAACCAACTCACCTGACGAAACCACACCCCATTGAAGCAAGCAAGCTTACCGACTGGAGAAAGGGAGATCCGCGAATCCAGCAGAAGAAACACCAGAAACCGATCCCTAAGACTCATCCTAAGGACGAGAGCTTAGATCCCCGACACTCTGCAAACCCAACAACCCTCGGAGAGAAACGACGCAAAACAAGACATTCAACCCAGATCCGCCGGAGAGAGAACACAGAACGGAGATATCCCCAATCTCGCAAACCATGGGAGACTCCAACGACCACCACAAACATCTCGCTTTCTCCACGCGCCAGATCTACTCCGAAACCACCTACCTAGTCCCAGAAACGGAAGGAGGACTGCTGCAACAGCTGGGAAGAGAAACGCCGAAGAGAGGCTGCTCAGCAACTAAAGGGAAACGAGAAACCCTCCCCGGCGCCGGAAGGGCAAGCCGGAGAGGCAAACGGCAGCCACAAATTAGGGTTTTCTAGAGAGAAGGGAGAGAGAAGAGAGAGAGCTTTTTTTTTTGTTTTTGTTTTTTCTTTTTAGTGATATGTATTTATAATTAGAAATTTTTTGATAAATACCCTTTTTGGTATACTCCTTTTCGAAAATATTATTTGTCTATACATTTTCAAAAATACCATTTTTAAATATGAAAATTATGAAGAGTTATATGGTTTATAAGGTACTTTTAGATAATAACTACTATTGAGAGATTCTATCCAAATAATTTATAAGGTTTTAAATCGTTTTTACAAAATTTTTTAAGGGTTTGCAGGGTTTTTAAAAGGTTTTATAAGGATATTAAAATGTTTTTATAAGGTATTTATGAAATATACAAAAATATTACACTCATATAAAGGTTATTCGTGTATATATTTATAAGATTATACACATATTTGGATATATTTGAATATTTTGGTGGCTTTTTGATAAAGTTTGAAAGAAGGAGTATTTTTGAAAAGTGGTACTTGCATTGGGGCATTTTTGAAATTCCTTATAACTATGTCATTTTCTTTTGTGTTATAAGCATAGTGGCTAATTCTAAGACAATATAAGACAACTTTCTTACTTTTTCTTAATTCTAAGACAATTAATATTGTATAAGTTGGAAGAAATGTTACAAAACAAAGTTGAATGGAAGAAGTAGAAAGTCATTTATATTGAAGATAAATTTAAATTGGAAATGTTTGACATATTATAAA